ATGGTCATCAACAAAGCATTGCTAGCGACGACAGTATTGGCGACCACAATGATCATTGTGGCACGTCCGACGGTCCAGGCAACAGTTTACATCACCAATCACTTAACGAAAAAAATATTGATCGTGCATTGTCGATCCAAAGACGACGACCTCGGAGTCCATGCGGTAGCCGTTGGGGCAACCATCCACTGGAGCTTCGGGCAGAATTTATTTGGCGGAACACTTTTCTGGTGCAAACTCGCGGTCGAAGATAAGCGTATTATCTTCGTGGCGTTCGAGCAAGGCGTCGACGTTGTCAAGGGAGACTGGTATGTTCGTGACGAAGGAGTTTACGAGATTCAAAATATGACCTTTCTGCGGGCTGCATGGACGCGACCATAAGCGCATGGATTTGTATCCAGAGGTCTAGCAATGGAGTGATGTATAATATGGGATTTTACTTTAGCTTTTATTTTGTAACAATTTGAGTTATCGAAACCAATAAAGTCATGCTATAGTATTAGTAGTCTTATTTATTGAGAAATGTTTTGTTTCCAGAGGTCTTTGCCTAACTAAAGCCTTCATGCTATATAAGGAACACAATTCTGCCACCACTGTGGGTAGTTGACCCAATCAACGAGAGAAATCCCGACATTGACCGGATACGAGGTAGGTACGTACTAAAAAAACACGCATATAAAATGATGGTCATGGGTCAAGATTAATGAAATTACGTGTCCCCGCTTCGTCACTTTATCCACCACGATTCGATTCCTATACTACATATAATCTGGTTCAGAACTGTTTGGTTTTACCCGAAACTGGACCATATAACTCGGATTGGGATCGAATAGCAAACAATCCAATCTCATATTTGAGCTTAGATTTGAGGTAAAAAAAAAACCCGGATAAAGACCGGATAAGAAACCTCAACACTCAAATCCCCACAAGCTCAATCTAAAATCAAAATCAAATTGGGACCGGACCGGGTCAAGACCGGAGTGTATCCAATCCAATCCAATCTTTGATCCTTATATTTCCGAAAAGACCGGACTGGAACCGGATCAATTTGGTCCTCATAAATCTTTTTAATATATATATAATATGGTGGATGAAACTAATCCTAAACTTTACTTAATTGAACGAACCCAAGTGTTGACCATTATGTTTGACGATCAAAAGTGTTGACTAACGATCAACCGGCCATGTTACCGTCCGATCAGTATAATTTCACTTAAAATATTCATCTTTTTCGCAAAATACTGTGCCCAACTCCTCCACTTCCACCTCCTTCACATACTTCCACATCCATCTCAAATTATCTCATTTAAAATATTGTATTTACATATTCACTAACTTACGTAATTATTCTACATATTTACACTAATTTAGTATTGAAGTTAACTATTACCTATTTTACTTAATTACTATACATATATATTTTTATACTTGAAATTAATTATCGACTAATTATAGTACATAATTTACACTTTTACACAAATGGTATATGATTTGTAATTGGATATCTCCAAACAACTCGAGTTATTGGCCCAACTCAAATTTTTACCTAGTATTATCAATTAATAAAGAATTTTCTATCATTTAACTTCGCAAAACCGAAAGATTTAATCGTAGACCTGAAAGATAGCCTAAAATGTGGATTATTCAGTACTCTTTCCACCTTTCAAACTCAAGGATGGAACAAAGAGGATGCAATATTCTAAGATGAGCCATGAGCTCCCCCGTTTCTTTCCACCAATATCCCGCCGATCTTCTGGGTTGGACCAGCCCGGCAGTCCTTGGAATGATTTGGCATCGCCGGCACAAATTAAAAATGGTAAACGCCGGAAAAGAGTTTAATTTCCTGCACGGCTGCACCGGTAACTCTTGGGAAACGGCATCAACGTGAAAGCGACAACATCTCCCGTCACAGAATGACAAGCAAAAACAGCACCGGCCTTTCGAATGCTTCAATTAGTCTTCTACTCGTCACAGAATAAAAAGTGAAATTGTTAGAGAATTTTTTCTTGTGCAACCTCCGATACGATTTTTTCTAACTCTTTGGAAAATACGAACTCAGATAAGAAAATCAGATTGCAATGGCTATCAACAAAGCTTTGCGAGCTGCGGTAGCATTGGCGACCATAATGATCATTATGGCACGTCCTTCGGTCCAGGTATTGGTTTACATTACCAATCGCTTAACCGAAAAAATATTGATTGTGCATTGTCGATCCAGAGACACCGACCTCGGAGCCCATGCGGTCGCCGTCGGGGCAAGCTTCCACTGGAGCTTCAATGATAATTTCTTTGGCAGGACACTTTTCTGGTGCAAACTCGCGGTTGAAGATAAGCGTATTTCTTTCGTGGCGTACGAGGCGTACGTTGAAACTTTCGGGCAATGGGTTGTTCGTGATGATGGAGTTTATGGGATGCCCTTTCGTTGTCCGACCTTTTTGAAGGCTGGATGGAGGCGACCATAAATATATAATTCATGGATTTGTCGTCAGCATAGTGCCTTTTATCAGGTGGTATTGTATTCACAGATCTTGTAATTGAATGATATAGATGCATTTTTAGCTTTTATTTGTACCGATTTAAGTTATTGAGATCAATAAATTTATAATGTAGCTTCGAAGTCTAATTGTTGAGATGTTGTGGAGAAAAAAGTCTGATGATTTCCTATCTATATATACTTTGCCCATATATGTAACTAAACCCTTCTTCGTATACGTAATCCCTACGTATCACTACAAGAAAACAGTAATGTACCGTCGGGTTTTTCCTGCTTTACCGTCGGTTCTATACGCCAACGGTCTGCTAGCTACAAATCTCCGATTTGGGTGTGGTTTCAGAGTGAGCTAAGGGAATCTTCTCTTTGGTTTGCTTTCTTTCTTCAAGTATTAGGTGGTCCTCCTCCTTGCTTTACCCGAACGGCGTGGTGATTCGGTTGAGATTTGTCTTCTTTGTGAGACTTTGATTTCTCTTCCTTGTGGTTTGAGAGCAGGGTTGTGAGGTCCCTGGTTCGGAGTTTGGCTGCTTGGAATGTTCTGCTCGTGTTGGTCTTCTGGTGTCCATGAGTGTTCTTTTTCCCCTTGAGAGTGTGTTCACCTTCGTAGTTCCTCTTGGCGTCTTCATTTGATCATCCGGCGGCCTGCATGCGTGTCCGGCGGTGGTCAGATTTCTGGCGTGACATCTTCCTCTCCGTCAGGAGCGGCTCTTTGTTTGTGCGGCAGGATGAGTTTGGACTAGGGTTTCATCTCTCGGCGCTGTTGGGCTGATGGGGTTTTCCAGCTTTTGGGTGGGATCTTTACTTTTGACTCACTGTACTTTCCTTGGGTTTGGCCCTTTATCTGTAATTTAGCGATGGCAATTTGACCCCAATTGTACCCCTTATACCAATTAGGCCCTATTTATATTCTAATCACCCAATTTAGTGAAAATAGGCAGGACATTTTGGTTTTTACAATTACTTTTTTTTATTCATTAAAAAGACACGTACTGGGATTCGAACCATGACCATTTTAAAGAAAAGCAAGAATCATAACCAATCACACTAAGCACATTTATTGTATCTTTTTAAATTAAAAACATATAATAGCAGGGAGGAAAAAACTCTTCCCCCATTACAAATTCCCTGCTCCATGAGCGTTAGTAGGAAGGAAAGAATAGCGAGTGTCAATTTTTTTCTCTTTCCTCTGTGGAACAGGCCAACTTACCGTACACATGCGGATTTAAACGGGTCCAGGAGTGTCAATTTTTTTCTTTAAGCCCTTTTTTTGTTGAAAAAGAATATAAATCTTTAAGCCCTTTTATTTAAGCCCTTTTATTTCTCCGTGGTGATAAAATATATATGAAAAGGCAAAAACAATACTCCTTTTTATTGTTAAAAATAAAAAAATTTAACAATAAACTAATGCATGGTATCTAATGGGCTAACCACTAACCATAAAATAAAAGAGTTGAATGGGAATGACTTACACGGGATTTGGCCATCAAGTAAAACAAATGAACATCATTGGTTTGTCATTCTAAAACAAGCTATTTTCCCTGGCATAATATATATTGTGCTATTATTTTATATCTTAGTGGCTAAAATATAATGTATTTTAAAGTTATTCAATGGTTCAACCTCGACCAACCCAATTAGTCCAATTTTTATTATTTCAAATATATATTATATAATTATTTGATATCATAATGATCAAATTATAGTGTATTTTATAGGGAATCATTTGGTATTTGTTAGTAAAAAACTAAACAGAACGATCTATTTGGTTATTTTAAACATTAAAACGATCCTAAACATTTTCAGTTCCTTTTGAATTTTTATGGTTTAATTCCCGAATAAGTGATGTTCAAATGGCGAATTGCAGTCATCTCTTTTCTTTCACTATATTTTATTTTCAAATAGAAAGTTTACAAGTAAAGAATAATTAGATTTTGGCGTGGGTCAGTCCAACATGCTGAATTTCAAGTTTTGGCCCGTTTTGATCAAGTCCAATTTATAATCACATGGTTCCCTGATACCCGATAAAAATCTCAATCCAAACCAGTTTGGCAGGTGAGTCTGTGTTTACCACCATTTTCTAGAGATACGACAACGGCGGTTCGAATCCCAAATCGTGTTGTTCGTTCTTGATTTCCTTAGATTTTATCATGGCCTAACAAAAATCACAAAGTACAATGCCGACAAGATGAAAGTTTTATAAAGCAAATTAATCGACCAACGGGCCGAGTAAAAGCTAGCAACGATTGTGAGATGCTCATTTCCCGAAAACCGACGGGATATGCGATTTTTTATTCAATTTTATGTAATTCGGTTTCTATAAAACTTACTCCACCTCATCATATTACCAGAAACAATATTGTTTCACAAGGTAACATGTACTTGATTTTGGTTCATAAGGCCGATTTTTTACTCATTGCATCATTCATGTCTCTTTCCTGCTAAAATTCACTATTTTTATCACGAATTTCCCAAAAAAATATAAAACAATAAATTATACACCCCATTACATTATCAAATTTCATACCTCGCCTTCCTACGGCCAACTGGCCGGGGCCCACACTAGTATTTTAAGATGAACAATGAGCTTCCCCGTTTCTCTCCACCACCTGCTGATCTCTTCTGACTTGGACAAGCCCAGCCGTCCGGTTTGGAATGATTTGGCATCGCCGGCGAAATTATAAAGGTAAAACTATGAAACAGTTTCCTGCACCGGTAAACTCTTTTCTCTTGGAAAACGGCATCACCATATGCCGAAAATTGACAACATCTCCCGTCACAGAATAACAAGCAAATGCAGCAGAGGACTTTCGAATGCTTCAATTCAGATCAAGCACTATAAAAAGGAATTAGCATTGATCGATCACGAAAAATATAGCTATAATCAATAAGAGAATCAGATTTGCTGATTGCAATGGTTTTCAACAATGCATTGGTAACGGCTGTAGCATTGGCGACCACAATGATCATTATGGCACATCCTTCGGTCCAGGTAACGGTTAACATTACCAATCACCTAACCGAAAAAATATTGATTGTGCATTGTCGATCCAAAGACGACGACCTCGGAGCCCATCCGGTAGCCGTTGGGGCAAGCTTCCACTGGAGCTTCGGGCTGGAATTCTTTGGCGGGACACGTTTTTCGTGCAAGCTCGCAGTCGAAGATAAGCGTATTTCTTTCGTGGCGTACGAGCAAGGTGTCGACGCCGTGGGAGACTGGTTTGTTCTTGACGATGGAGTTCACGGGAATGGTAGCCCGTACTTTCTGAAGGCTGCATGGAGGCGACCAGCGCATGCATTTATATCCTGAGAACTAGCTAGTAATGGAATGATATAAGATGCAGTTTTTAGCTTACATTTTGTAATAGTGTTTTCCGGTGAGGAGAAACTTGTGTTTGAACACAATGATTTGCACCTTGACTTCTTGAATAACGATTAATAACACGGTTCACTCTTCTCCGAACAATGTTCGAACGAGGGTGTTTGATGTTTTTGATGATTTTTGGGAACAAACTAAGTAACTCTACTCCTATGGTGGTTCAGTGATAGCTCCGAAAAACTAAAAGCTGATTTGCAGAGAAAAGATAAATTTTGACATTGTGCGTCAAATGTTTGGTTGTGGAACCTTTGCTTCTTCTTAGTTTCTTCTATTTTTAGCCACTAGGTGTAACTGCCTTGATAACTGCTAGCTGGCCTCTTGCTCAAAACTGCTTCGGGGTCCTTGTCGTCGCCTTGGTGACTAGTTGGTAACCATTGCGTTGGAGGCCCTTGTCCCGTCTTGGGGCTGGTGTGTACTTGATGACCTCAATGTCGGTTGTTGTTGAGCCTTGTCGCCTTGTCGTGACTGGATGGGGTTGAGGTTCTTGCCTTAGCCTCCATGAACAACGATGAGGTCATGATCTCACCCTCGACTGCTTGATGACTCCCCGCTCCTGATACCGCTATCACCTCATGACACCAATTCCTCATTAACTTGTTGGTTGTTACCAAGCAGTCTCATCGGCTTGATACCTTCTGACATTCCACCAAGCCCATGTAATCAACTCGACACCCCTTGCTACCAAGCCAGTCCTGGTGGCTTGGTATCCATACTTAGTTTTTATAGCCTCGTCAAGTTGGTAAGTTGCACCCTGCCGGTTTGGTAAGTCCGTCTTGGCGGCTTGATATCCAGACTTAGTTTCTGTATGGCTTTCTTAGTTGGTACCTGGCTTGGCCACCAAGTCAGTCTTGCCGGCTTGATACCCCCTTGGGGTCATGGTACCACGTCGCCTTGCTTGGCTGCCAAGCCTGTCTTGCTGGCTTGGTACCGAGGTTGCCTTGCCAACCTGGTACCCCTTAGCTCCATACTCAGCGAAATTCATGGTTTTCATGTCTTGGTACCAAGCCCTGCCTTGTCGGCTTGGTACCTTCTTGGCTCAAGACTTAGCCAAATTTCTTAGTTTTTATGGCATCCCCCTTCTTTGGAACCAGGTTTGGTACCCGGTCGTTTGGCACCCCGTTGTGTCGCCTTGTTTCCAAGACTTAGTTTTTGGATGGCCTCCAATTTGGTGCTCGACATGGTACCCGGCCGTTTGGCACCCCGTGGTGTCGCCTTGTTTCCAAGACTTTGGTACCCGGCTTGGTACCCGACCATTTGGCACCCCGTTGTGTCGCCTTGTTTCCAAGACTTAGTTTTTGGAGGCCAAATTTCCTACCAAGGGGTGAAGCGCATCGTCCGGCTATGGGGCCAAGGAGACGGGTTGGCCATCATGTAGGGAAGAAGGGGCTTGGCCACTTAAGGCCAAAAATCCAACCCAACTAGGCCCAGCTGGCTCTTTTAGTTATTAATTTTGAGCTGACCTTATAAATTCATTGAATTTCTTGTAGTTAATCGATCTGGTGCAAGGTGATTTTTTTAGTGGATTGCTAATTGTCGCCCTAGATTTTCTATAATTGCCCTAACTTAAAAGTTGAGATTACCACATTACCCTTCCTTTTTTTCATATTAAAAATATTTTATTCTAATAATCAACCGTCTCCGCCGCGGGCTAATTCCCGTCGCCAGCAGCTGTCTTCCATGGACGGTGTTCTTCGCAAAATTGGAAGTTTAACGAGTTGAAAATGGATCAGTGGAGGTTGGGTGGTGGATTCAATAACCATAATTAATCCAAACATATTGATTAACCGCCTCTTCCGCAGGCTGATTCTCGTCGCCAGCAACCGCAAAATTGATATTTTGCCATCAGTCACCACTCCCGTCGGCCGTCTCTAGTAGCCGCAAAATTCTCGTTGCAAGTGCGAGATGGTGTTCTTCGGCGGGCACCGATTGTTCGACCGACGACAGTGGTCGCTGGGTGGTGGTGATCGGTGGTGAAAATTCCCGTCGCAAGTGCGAGATGGTGTTCTTCGGCGGGCATGGGTTGATCGACCGACGCCAGTGGTCGATGGGTGGTGGTGATCGGCGGTGATTATTTGGAGAAAAAGGAAGATTATAGTTATTAAAGATTCTTTATTTTATTGAATTTGATTTGAATGATGAAGGATAATTTAGTAATCTCACGGTTTAAGTAAGGGCGACAATAGTAAAATTAGGGCGAGATTTAGCCATTCAGTTTTTTATGGGTAAACAAATAGTTTTAGTTATCGGGACCAATAAATTCATAATATACTAGCGCAGCCTTATTTATCGGGATTTTTTTTGTTCAAATGCTCTTTCCAAAATACACCCTAAAGCAATACTTTGCCCATTACTATTCATTAGTGGCTCTCACTCTCCTCCAAGGGCAAGTGAGGAAGTTCAAAGTACTTCTTTTACCCTACTCTCCATTCTACAACCTTTGTGTTTATTTATTGTTCGCTAGGTTTTCGTATATGGCTTTTTGCATAGTTTTGGATCGAAATCGAGTTTTGTACACTTTAATTTTTTTTATTTGTCATTTTCCTTTTCGTTAAGAATTAATTAATATATGGTTTTTTGCAAGTGGGGAAGTTCCAAGTCCTTCTTTTATAGGTTTTCGGCGGGAGCGAGTTTTATTTCTTTCGTTGTTAGCGTGTTGTGTCCGGTGTGAATTTGTCCAAAACTCGGTCCGACCAGGTCCAAGCGAGTTGAACCTAGTGTTGACGAGTTTTGAGTCGGCAGCGAGTTTTAGCTTTAGTTTTTCATTACGGTTTTTACTTTTGTTTGAGAAAGACACGTGGACCCAAATTCATGGGTATCCAACCTAATTTGACCCGATCAATGCGAGTTTAACCTTTTCAAACCTGCAATAATTCCAAAAATTTCATAAAGGAGAACCACGATTACCTCAAACAAAAAAAGCCTTACAAATTGAAAACATTAACGTCATGAAATAAGTTTAATCATAAATAATCTATTCGACGACCCCTCTACCTTATGCAAGTTCATCGACCATATGCTATTGTAAATAACAAACCTATGAAAAGAATTATTAGGAATGAAATAAGATTACTTTCACTTTTGGCTCAACATTAAAACTATTACTCTTAAAAATATTTATCTTTGTGATACGCGACGCGATAGCGAGCGGGCTTTTGCTAGTATATATATAACTTAAAGTCTTCATGCCACGTACAGATGGCAATTCAGCCACCAGTGTGGGTATCTAATCCAATCAGGGAGTGGAATCCGTACAGTATAACCTTCTATTGTTAGCATCATAATGAGCTAACTTAAAAGTGTGAAAGTGTAAGTTTTTAAGCGTAATTTTGACTGCATTGCCTAGCACAATTCACCGCTCCAGCCATGATCAGGTTCACGAGCTATGAATCTCAAGACATGGCTGCCAATTACGTGTAGGATTGGAAGTCCGGTTTCAGTTTTCCATTCAAACCGGAACCCGACCAGTTTAAATCATCTCGGTTACAATCGAAAACCGGATACAATCCAATTTGGTCTGGATTACGATTTGCAAATTAATATTTGACAAAAATCGACCCATGTATAATCCGGTTAAAACTGGAAGAACCGGAAAAACCAGGCCATGCCCAGACCATCCCTGCCTTGCACCTAGCCCAACCCTGAAGTCCAAAACCCAAACCACCAGAACTCTATTCCCAAGTCTGCACTCTTCCTTTCTACCTTTCAAACAATTCCAAATTCCAGCTTCTCATGAGAGCTTTTGTTTGCCTTAATCTCTTACCATATAGGTATAGCTGTTCAGAGCTACTAATTATCAAGGACATTCAACCACCCAACCAGACCTGGAATGAAAGTTTCTTCACTCACTCAGCCACATATTTTCAAATCTCCATGGTTGATGGAATCTCTCAAAGGTCCTCCGACCCCCAATAATTAAAATTGGACTATGTGGTCTGACTGCACTTGTTCTAAAGCGACGAGTGAGTCGGTCGAAAAATACTTCTAAAAGCTAGTGTTAACCATCACTCTATCAATTCGAGAGAGGATCGCAGATAGGGATGACAATTTTGTCCGTACCCATGGGTTTTTTACTATCAAAGTAATCCAACCCAATTGGCTTGGGTATGAAATCCATATAGATGGATATGGGTAGACTTTGATGGGTTTGTACCCATACCAATTTACTTGGGTTGGTTGAGTTTATAACAAATGGATTTGGGTTTGCACCATGCCCAAATACAAATTACAGTTTGGTACCTAAACTTAATAGGTATGCAAATTTAGTACCTAAATTTATTTATTTTTTGCATATAAGTCCTCAAAATATCGATGGAAAATTACATTTTTGTACAAAAATATTTTTGGTCTTACATTTTGGTACCTAAACTTTTCAAGTTTTACAAATAGGTCCAATTTTTGCTTGTGTTGTTAAAACACTCTCAAATAAATGGGTATCCATATCCAACTCATACCCATTTAGATTATGGAAGCAATACTCATACTTTACCCAAACCCATATGCACTTCACCCATACCTAACCCATTGTGAATGGATCTATTTGGATTTGGATATAATTACCCATGAGTAGGTAATTGCCATCCCTAATCGCAGACACTCATCCGATCCCCTGCTCCAAGTGAAGGCCGCCCTTTTAGGGGTTAAGCAATCAGAGTGTATAAACTCGTTAAATTCACTTAATTAGCTTCTGATCTCTCGGTTCGACCCTGATTGAAATTTTCTTCTGTCCTCACTAGATTGAAATCTCCATGATACATAGAGGCTCAAAATAATTCTGTCACAACAAATTTAATTCCTAATATTGAGGTTTTTCGTGATAGCACGCACATACGCTTAGGTTTCGTTTCTCAGGAAACCATAGATTTGTTTTTTTTTTTTTCCATTTCATGAACTAATTTGAGAAAAGATTCTAAAATGAAGCATGAGCTCCACCGTTTCTCTCAACCTCGCGCTGATCTCTTCCGAGTTGGACCATCCCGGCCGTCCGGTTTGGAAAGCTTTGGCATCGCCGGCAAGATTGTAAAGGGTAAAAGTGAGTAAGAGTTTCCTGCCCCGGTAACTCTTGGGAAAACGTTAACATCTACCGTCACAGAATAACCAGCAAAAGCAGCACCGGCTTTTCGAATGCCTCAATTAGTCAATTGATCTTTTACTCTTCATCAGATCAAAGCACTATAAAAAGGAATGACATTTGATCGATCACCAAAATATCCAGGATTAAAAAACCCTATCAAAAGTGAAACCAATAAAGTATATTTTTCTCCCTAAAAAATAAAGTATATTTTTCGGTACAACTTTCGATCGGTACGATTTTTCAAATCATTGGAAAATCCACACTTAGATAAGAGAAACAGATTGCAATGGTTATCAACAAAGCATTGCTATCGGCGGTAGCATTGGCGACCATAATGATCATTATGGCACGTCCTTCAGTCCAGGTAACGGTTAACATTACCAATCAATTAACCCAGAAAATATTGATTGTGCATTGTCGATCCAAAGACGACGACCTCGGTGCCCATGCGGTAGCCGTCGGGGCAAGTATCCACTGGAGCTTCCGTGATGATTTCTTTGGCCGGACACATTTCTGGTGCAAACTCGCCGTTGAAGATAAGCGTATTTCATTTGCGGCATACAAGGCATACTTCGAAATTTTCACGAAATGGGTTGTTTGTGACGATGGAGTTTATGGGCTGCCCAATGGTCATCCGGCCTTTCTGGAGGCCGGATGGAGGCGACCATAAGCGCATGGATTTGTCGTTAGCAGAGTGCTTTTATCAGGTGGTATTGTATCGATAGGTCTTGTAAAGGAATGATATAAAATGCAATTTCAGCTTTTATTTGTAACGGTTTGAGTTATTGAAATCAACAAATTCATAATATAGCTTCGAAATTTAATTTTCCTGAGAAATGCTTTCTTCAAATGCTCTTTCCTAAATACACTCTCAAGCCATACCCCAAGCGGCCTAATCAGGAGGAGTCTTGAGTGAGCGGCCTAATCAAATGTTCTTCAAATGCTCTTTGCTACCTATATACTTTGCCCATAAATGTAAAGAAATCATCTAAAGCAGGACGAGTCTTGAGTGAGGTGGCACTTAGCTCTTTCCTCGTTCGAGCTGACCTTCCCTTGCGCCACCAACCAAACGAAGCAACGAACATGTTCTGGCATTGAGAGTCGTCAAATCCTCTTTCCAGAACTGCTGGTTATTGTCGTCGATAGGGTCTTGTAGCAACTAATAGGCACTCTTGGTAGAAAATCTTCCATTAGACGTCGGTTGCTACAGAAGCGTGTCTTCTTCCGTCGAGAGAGGGTCCACCACCCGTGCTGTAATTTGCCTGACTATGTCTTCTTCCATTAGTGGTAGGGATTTTCTTTTTTTTAATAATTTTTAATGAATTTTTTTAGAGGAGTGTTTTCGGGTAGGCGACTAGCCAAACCAAAACCGATAACCGACTGGTCGGTGGTCGGCTAGCTGTGGTGTCACTCACAGTCGGTGGTCGACAATGGTAGGTGGTTGCTCGGTTTAATCAATAACCGAAAAATCAATTTTCGGTTAAATCGACCGATTGCCACCCCTAACTGAGAGTGAAGAATCCAAGTTGCCTCAAAATGGAATGGTCTGTTGACATTGTTATGAGGTGTATGATGTTTATTGGAGATAAGCAGTGGAAGGTGATCAGATTTGAACTTTGGCAGGTGTTGAACTGAAGAGTTGGGGAACATAACATTCCAGCTAGTATTGCATAATGATCTGTCTATCCTGCTGGCTTTCTGAGTCCCGTTGGACTTACCTCTAAACCAAGTAAACCGCGAGCCAGAGAAACCCAAATCAGTTAACTGAGCCTCATTGATCCAGTTATTCGGGGAAAAAGAGAGCTATTTTTATACCACCAGAAGGTGTAGTGGATTCTAATTAATCCCTCTCTATCTGAATTGCAGAATAAATTTTCTTATGATTTGAATATCAATGAATCATCAATTGGTTATAATCTCTCTAACTATTTCACACCGCTAGATCTTACAAAATTACGACAAACATTTTACATCTTTAGAAATTGATGCACATAAGTTCGAGTTGAAGAGAATTTATCAAACAATAGTGTATGCTTTAAACATTTTCTGAATAAATACTGCAACCAAAGAACTATTGATGGCAATGGTTTTGCAAGGTATCGGCTTCGAGAGAACAACATTTCAAATATCGTGAATGGAGTCTCACTAGATAATCGTACAATCAATTTACTATTTAGTTTAGAGCTACCATGTATTTGTTCAAATATATCAACGAACCTGAAAACATAGCAATGACGACTTTGGCATCTAAACCAAGTGGTAATGAAAAACACCAAAATCAAGAAAAATCTTCAGCACATGCATTTGCATTGATGAGATTAAAGCATTTCTAGACTGTCTGTAGATCACATCATGCCGGAGACTTTTGAAATTTGATGTTAGCTATAGTTCATGTGTTGCATATGTTATGTAATTTGACTATCAAATACTAAAAAATTCTATAATATATAGGAAAATATGTATGTCGTCAAACGCAAAATTACCAAAGTTAAAATTGGTGCTGCTATGTTGGATGCGAAACCTGTCCACAAAACTCGACGAAGATTCTGACGAGTACTTATGCGAAATGTACAACAAGATTAAAAACAACAACAACGTGGTGTTTCAACCATTATTGACATGAAAGTGGATTTGATATTAGTACGTTGATGAATATAGATGACAAATTGGATATTTAATATTCAACAACATAATTTATATTATTTTTCGTTGAATGCATAGATTTTGTTACTAAAGAAAAAAAAAAGCTTCCGTACATAGTACAATCAAGACAATATATAATACGTTTTTATGTGTTCAGAATCGGCCATTTAAAAAATGCAAGCACGGAAGCGTTTCTCGGTAGGTTATTTAAGGAATTTCACCACAATAAAATATCGCATACAATATGATGTTGATCTTTTGAATTGTTCAACTATTTTAACGGATTGGATTTTCTTATTCTCCAAATCGATCCAAATGTTTAGAGTATTTGTAGAACTTGGATTTTTTTTTATACTAATGCGTAACTCGAATATAAATTGGTATGGTTATTTTTTTGCGTGAGTCAAAAACTGCTTGTTTTAAGTAACTCCATCACGTCGTCATAGTCGACAGGCCATCTGCTCCACGGACATTTGCTTCCTTTCGGAGTCGAAGACTACGCGGTGAAATTGAAACGCGTTTATACCGATCAACAATGTCGAGTCGCCCTTGAGAGCTGGAATGTACGAGCTTCGAATCAGCCACAAGCAGTAGTGTTTGCCGTCATCCGAGACCTGGAAAAGGCTCTCGATGGGCAGCTCGAACCTGGACCCGCCCTCGAGGTTGATAAAGAGCGACGGGAACGTTTTCGTCGTGGCGGCCGCCTTCAGAAGCATGTCGGGCCTTCCCAGGTAGCAGAGCTCGTTCGGGCCGATCGACGCTGGCTCAGCCCCGGCAGCGTCAAGCAGCAACTTGATCTCATCCTTGATGTCCGTGTAGGCATAATCTGGCACGACCGTTGAGCTAGATCCGCTGTCCACGGAGGCTATGCCGTCCCCGGCCCCGCCATTAATCTCGGCCTTGATTTCCGTTTGGCCGAGGAAGACGGACACCACTCGGACGTAGTAGTGCATGCCGGTGCCAAAACTCATGGGGGCTGGATTCCATCCCAGCTCCACTCCCTCGCCGACAGCCAAATAGTTGGCCCTGTAGTCTTTAGCGTCCAGGGGGCCGAAGCACATGGCCAAGGGACCTCCTCCAAGCTGGGAAACAATGGAGGTCTTTTCCGGGCCGACCCCGAGGATACCGTCGAAGCCCATCTCACGGAGTCCGCTGGGTGTCCCGACGTTGCACCCGAAGGTGAAGTTGAGCTCCTTGGTGCCCTCTTTCGGTCTATTGACCTTGAGGGTATCGATACTGACGTAGCCGACAGCGTCTTCACCTTTGGCATGATAGGACGCCATGAAGATGCACCGCGAATCGTGGCAATCGCTGTGGAAACTATCAGCACACACCGGGTGATTGCAGGCCACGTACCGGAATGTGCTGGATTTGAAAAGGCGGAAGCTGGGATTCATTCCCTTCTTGTACTCGGAATCGGCATCTCTTTGACAGTAGAGCCATGTTAGGCTGCTGCCAGAGTCGATGAGGGCTTTCTGCGGCTGCGGGGGATTCCCCAAGCTGAATTTGGCCACGAAAAAGGTCGGGCCTCCATTGACCGGGATGGTCGTCTGGTTATCAGGTTGGTTGCCGATCTGGAATGTTTGCGTGTGGTCACCGCCGGCATGTTGGACGACGATGAAGGGGAAGACGTACCCCTTGGGACGCAGACGAGATGATGATGATGAGGTGGTGTTTGATACTGCCGGGGAAGCTGCGGCAAGGGTGATGATGACGAAGGCGGCCAGGACCAGGGCAGTAGCATCGAAACGATGGGGTTCCATGGCTTGCTCTAGTTTTTAGGAAGGAAGCAAATTAAATGGGGTTTTGATCCAAGGTGTTTCAGACGCAGAGAGAGAGAGAGAGAGGAGAGGAGAGGAGAGATTGTGAGCAACAAGGTTTTGGTGTGAATTTCTTCAAGCTAAGCGGATCGCATCCCCCTTTTATAGCACCTAGATTCACACAAACGACGATGCAAATGGGTTGTTCAGCGGTGCGCCATGCATGATTTCACCTAATTAACCACATCTCTTTCTTAGTTTCCTTTCTCTTCGTTTTGCATGTTCGGGAGGTGGAGATGTCACTTAGCGTGAGCCAAACTGACTATCCTAACACTAGTTAGTTAGTTAGTTAATTAATTGATTAATCAATCGATCATGTTATAAACGCCCTGTTACGGATCGGTCTTATATGATTATCTATGGTAAGTCACCATGATACTGACTCTGTTCTGACAAATCTTCATCGTTATCCTCCAGTTTTGCTGCAAGTCAAACTGAAAGTTGGACAAACATGGGGTTCTTTGGAGCCGTTTGAGGCTGAGAATTATGCAGATAGTGTTGAAGTTCCCTGTTTCTGAAGAGTGATGCTATGTTTTTGGCTTGTGCAAGTAAAATAATATTGATGATAACAAAGGCTGAATCGAACGTGAACTGCATGTGTAGTTTAAGATACATATAGGTGATTGATGACCTTATGATTGCTTACAAATTGTATATCATAACATTTCTCTTCGATTTTTATGATATATATATCTTCGGATTGCTTACAAAGTTTAGTAACACACTAAATATGGTCTAATTATATCAATTCCCCTTGCACATCACTCACTGTAGACTTAATAATTGTATTGGCTGTTGATAGTAGGAGAAGCTTTCAAAAAAAATATACCGTATCAGGTTACATTTAGTTGATTAATTGAAGGTTACATTTAGTTGATTAATTGATGACCTTGCCACCAGGTGTGCTCTCTGCATCCTTTGTGTGTTGTTATCCTTTTTTCGGTTCAACTTTTGGATATTATTATTAGTTAGTATAATTAATTGGCCAGTTTACTTAAGGGGTCCAGTGGGCTACGGGTAGGTAGCCCATAAGCCTCCTGCGGACTCAATATTGACTGTCGATCCAGACGATCTTTTTCTCCAAACTCATGTTTTTTTTTTACGACTCTTACCTACTCCGATGATTCCCCCGTCGACCGATTGGCGGCGAGGCTAGTGGCCGCCATCAATTCTTCCCTTCTTTACCTCCAGGCAAAGCTGGGGTCAATGATGGATCGCCTTATTCCCTCTCCCGATCTCTCTCTCGGCTTTTCTCCGATCTTCGTCCTGGCGAAAGTGGGTTTGTGATGGATCGTGTTTTCCCCTATTTCAGACTAGCTCCAATGGGTTCGAAAGATGGATGCAGGGGGCCTGCCGCCGGCTAGGAAAATCGTCGATGATAGTATCACCGTTAATAATCACCCTGTTTTCCCACTATAACAGTCGTCTTGGCGTTGATCCTTGCATTGTCAGAGATCCTATAGAAGAGGAAGGGGAGAGAAGGGGAAGTCAAAGACCGCTTCGCCGTCATCGATTCCTCGACCTCATCCTGGCGAATTCCTTCGTGACACACTATCGTCGTTTGTACGCCTCCGTATTGCATGTTCAATAAATTGACTGTTGTTTATGGATAATAATTCCCCAGCGGATTCACAAGCTTCCCAATCCCAAAATCCAGAACCGTCGTGCTGAAGTAACAAACTTGGGGCTCTCTCTTTTGTTACCGATGGTATTGGGTAATCAAAATAAGAGAGTAACAATCAGGATCGGAGGGTAATTGGAAGAAGCAACCACAATTAGTCGATTATTTCGACATGAAGATGAATAAGAGAGGGATCAAAAGCAAGGAACCAACACTTTTGCTCGCTCATCTAGAGAATATATAATACGTTTTCAAGCATCTGAAAACCTCCATTTCAAAATTGCAGCCTTGGGAGCATTTCCCGGAAGGGCATTTTCGGAACTTCACCAAACTATAATCTTAAACGTCGGTTTGCATACACTGCGTTTTAATTACAACAGTTTTTATTTTCCAATTATAGTTTTTAATTTATTTCTCCACCTCCTTTCCCCTTCTGTCTACTGAATCGTAACTCCTAACCTCCATTTTTACCTGAGCATTTCACATCGTTCTTGAGTTGGCGCTTCCGTGCGCTTCCTTGAATCAATCACTCAACTGCACATCCTTCTAAACCCAGCTCAACATTTGAATCCGCCCAGTCCACCTAACCCACACAGCTTCTCTAATTGCCCACTAACCAAAAAATTCAGCGCCCAGAAATTTCAGATTCCCTTCGCCCCCACCGACGTCAAACTATAGGAGCCCCTACGATTCAGAATGCAAAGATTTGAAAGCTTTCACTTAATTTTTTTTTAAAGCTTTCAACCCTTACCTTCCACGGAGCCCCCTACGATTCTCATAGAGTGGTTCCACTTAACTTACTAACAGGAAACTGGGAGAATCCTTATTCTTCCAACTATCTTTCTCTCTTCGTTTCATCAAATTGCATGCTTAACTAAAAACAATGATAGTTTTGATAGCTTTGCATCAGAATGACAAGGTAGGTAGTAGCTTTTTCTAGGTAGTTTTCCATATTTTGGAAACAGTCCCAAGCCCAAATGATGGCCAGATTTAAACTTTAAAAAGTCTAAGGAGTAGTTTGGAGGTTGTGATTTGAAATTATGTATTTATTCAATAGATGTAATGTTAAGATTAATTTGTTTTATATGAAATTTGAGATAGAATACATGTATTACTTTTTTAATGGGTTCACCTATAGTCACTCAAAATGAGTGATTATCAATCTCTACTTAAAGATAATATTATTAACAAGTGATCGTCCACCCCACTTTTCTTTATAACAAAAACACAATCTAATCCTCCAATAAGGTATTTTTCAAATTCATACATTTTAACAATACATCGAATTTTTTTTCGTTGAATAACAATACATCAAATTACAAATACACAAATTGATTAAATTTATCATTTTGAAAAATTTCAACCTCAAAACAACCCATAAGTCCCTAAATTTTGTCATTAAGAGGTTCAATTTCCTATCAAATCAACCTCATGGTTTAAAATGTATCTACTCATGCTGCATCGTCCTCACACGCTTCTACGAATATCATTCGATGACCTATGGGCCAATGTAAATTTAATTGTTGTCTAATGATATAGATTTTCAGTTTTTCTAGAATGTTTTTCCTCATAAAGCATGGTGTTCCTTTTGTTTGTGTTACTAAAGACTCTTTACTTCTTGAATTATTTTTTAGTAGAGAGTATGAAATATAATTTTCTTTCATTTATATCATTTTAAAATTAAAATAAAAAATAAAATTATATTATTTAATATAAAATAAATCTAACAAGATTCATTTTGACTACTTTTTATTGTTTATAATTTTTATTCATAGTTGCTACTACAAGAATAAGAGTTGAAGAGACCATCCGTAGTAGCCCCGTCACTATCAACTCCTTCTACAAGGGCAACCAGGGGATGGGACAACTACCTGCAGAAACTAGATCGTGAAGAAAGTATCAGTCTATCCTATTGAGACTATCGGGAAGAAGAGTCGAGTGTTCAAGAGTTTATATTATAAGCCCTTTATAGACATTTTACACAACCTCTCATATTAAAAAAAACACTTCTAATAGTTTTTCAGCCAAACACTCAACTGTTTTTTTTTTTTGAAAGTATTTCTCTAAAAGTTCAAACCAGAAACTGCTTATGCAAAAGTTACAGCATGACCAAACTAGCCAAATATTAAATTTACCCGGCCAACCGGTCGGGCCATGAACTAGTTGAGAAAAGGGGATTTGGATCCCAATTGCATGCAAGTGGTCGATTCTCTTTAGTTCGTTTAGGATTATTGATGTCAGATAAAAGAAATCAAAGCAAGGAGAATAGTCACAAAGATAGAGAAGAAGGAATGTATCGAGCTCAGCTGATTGATATTTGTTGCCACCTGTCATTCATCTCCTCCACGTGTAGGAGGTCATGGGTCTTGGTGTAGTGAAAGGGAAGGAGCCTATGAGATTAGAAAGAAGATTTGTGGATTAAGAAAATAAAAATATTCAGGGGTTTATTTTTAAACACATAATGTTAGAATGGTTCGATCCAAATCTTAAGTAATACATAATTTTTTATTATTACATAACGAATGCTAATAGAGATGGCAAAAATATCCATAACCGTGGATATCCGTCCGAATCCGACCTAATCGAGTAGGGTATAACCCGAATCTGAAGGACTTTTTGTGGGTATGGGTAAAACTCGAACCAGAATATTGCGGGTAATGGATGGACATGGTTTGGGCACTATCCAACCCGAACCCGCCCGACTATACACATGCACATGTATTTATCTAGAAAATCATTATTTTTCTCTAACATATTTTTTATTTAGCATATAAATATAACATTTGTATGCAATTGTGTTGTTTTAATTAATTTTCTACATTCTAGTGAATAATTGTCGTGCTTTTCCTCTTATATAATGTGAGAATACGTGTGAATGTTAACATATTTGTTGGAGTTATAAAGAGATTTTTTTACCCATGGATATCCGTGGATACCCGAAACCCGAACGAGTATGTGCATGGTTTTAATTTTCTACCCATTTCTATAATGAGTATGGGTATGGGTAAAACCCGAACTACTTTGGGTAGGGTAACAGATATGCACTATCCGCACCCAACCCGACCCGTTGCCATCCCTAGATGCTAATATCAAGTTAGACAAAGTATCAAATCATTACATATATATATACACAATATATTATGCACTTCACTCTATGTCATTGTTGCCACCTTGCACTTTGATTGGTTCTCCTTATTTGGTGGAATGACAACTTTGACAATTTTTCAAACACTCAAGGGTACTCATTATTATTGGACTTTTGGTTTTCTTTTTAGTAAATGCGATTAGGATTAAGGGAAAAGAATATTTGTTTTAAGGTAAATGCTACATAATAATTATTTGAATTTTGCTATGTGTAGATTTATTTTGTGTGGTTAAGGAAAAAACAGAGGCTATCTAAAGTTGTTTAACTCCTAAATGACATAATGCTTGCGAATTGGATTTTGAGATGATAAAGA